TTACTTCGTACCATACATGCCTTGAATGCGTGCCACAAGCCGGGAACACTACAATATGGGTTACTATTAGCAGAAACACCAGAAAGAACAAAATCACAAGAAGAACGTGGTATGTTTTCCCTAGAATTTCACGAACAAGCAGCAAGATGACAGTATAGTGTTCATAGCTGTGGTTTTTAAGCGGTGTCTTATGCGAATTGATTTTTTTTTTACTCGTGGCATTGTCATTGGTAAATGGAATCTTTCTCACGCTAATGGGTCTGTTATATATCAAGTTTGGCTTGGTAATGAAAGATTCAGGCCCTGCCTTTGTTGTAATGACTGAAACTTATAAACATGGGCGACCCTATGGGCAAYAGACACCCAGATTGATGATATTTGTTTGGCATTCCTCTAATTCTAGTGAGTTAATCCTAATTGCCAGAATTGGTCAGCATTCAGTGTCGARAGCATGTTTGTATCTTATGCGTCATGTCCTGCAGTCCATGGCAGCAGGAGAACACTTCTCATTGGCTTAATAAAGAGCGAGGTGCTAGAAAATCCGCTTAGTTTACTTGTGTACTGTRGAATTCTTTGTGTATAGATGACATGACGAAGAAACCACACGCTGCAAATCTAAACGGARTGTTCTTTGGCTTCAAAGATTGTGTCAAGGAGGATCTCAACACCTGCGGTTTTCCAGTGGACGGGCAAGATCTTTCCAGCGACCCCGTCACCTGAAGGCAGCTCATTCGACATGGGAAATCTCTATTTGATACTTAAYTGAAAGARCGYCGGCGCGACACAGCTGAAAATGGACACGAACATTGGATCTCCATTTAACGCATGCGACAAGATGATGATTATTCGGTTTCGCGCAAATAATCAAGAATACCTTGAGAAATGGGCAATCGTCATTCACAGGTAGTCCTACTCAAGTTAATTGAATTCATAGGGGAATGTATCAAGTGTCCAATGACAATCTCCTCAAAAATAACTACAAACTGGAAGTTACTAAATTAGAAAAAGGTATTCATCTCGTATCAGCATCWTGCAAGGTTAAAAACCTTTTCAGCAACATTTAGAACTCTTGTTGCCTGAGACTCAGAGACACAGCGGAGGSAAATAGTTTATCACCTAGATTGTTTTATTTGCATGCACACTAGAGTTTGAAAGCATTTACTCTTTTCCTTCCATTCTTCTCTTCTTTCTCTGTACTATATATGTTTTTACTGTCAAACGTTATTATTGGAAACTATTGGATAGTGTTTTTACAAAAAAAAAACAAGTTGTAGGCAAAGGTCTGATAGTTCATGCCTCTCCTAATAATAATAATAATATGAAAAACACATTAGATCCAACGAAATTCACTGTATGTGACCTTCTTGAAGTGTTCAAATTTGAACTGAGGTCTGTTCTTAATTTTAACAACTTTGCTATCTACGTTTATCTTTGCATAACCAGCAGTTTGGTAAACGCGGCTTGGAGTATTTTAAGATATTAAAAATTGTATAATTTACCCCAAAATAACTATTGCAGAGAATTTCATTTTATAAGAAATTGATTGTTTATTGAATGCTCTCCTGTCTTTAGGAACAATATGAAGGGAATGGATTCATGTG